ACTTAAGCCGTTGAATTGCGCGAGAAAATTAAAGCAAAAATTCAACATTGAGTATCATCCGACAGAAAAACGATGCACTTCAATGGTGTTTTAGCCAGTCAAGACTATTTTCTAAATCTGCATGCATTTGCGAACAAAAATCTCTTTGCGGGTTTTTGCTGAAATGCACAGTTTTTGCTTGAAAAAATTTAAACCGTTGAACGGTACAAGCAAATCAGAGTTTTTCTAAGAGTTTTGACCCAATTGTCTCATTGGGCTTCTTTCCCTCAACTATTGGCCGAAAACTTTTACATGCAATGGAGAAAGAAATTGTCTATCAAAAAACTGAAAAATTCCTGCATCTTTATAGCTCAATTCCTTTAAATGGTGCGCTAAAAAAGTTCCTGCAAAAAATCCCGCTTCTAAAAGCCTTCAAATGCATTTTAATGCCTCCGAAGAGGTTAATTGCAATTGATTAGGTGGGCTGGAGCACAAATCATTCGCGGCAATCGTTTCGTAAAAAGCACAGTTTCAGTGCCACCTATTATGCAAAGAAGATGCGCACATACCTGCATAAAATCTCCATCAATTTCCACTATGAGCTGGCAATTGGCCAGCTGCAGTCGATGAAATTTTATGAAAATTGCGCTTTTCCATCGATGCACTTGGGCGACTGCATCGGACAATGTTGTCTAATGGGGGGACGATCGGAAAATTCCTTTATAAACCCTGCCCAATGGCAGCGAGTGCAAATTTGCTGAATGATGCCCAGTTGCTTGATAGTAAGTGAACTTGAACTGGTGGTGAGTTTTTAACGAGTTTTTTTACAGCTTTGTGCCATAATGGTGGCTTTGGTGGGCGCAGCCCCCCAAGGCCCCCCCCGTGAACCGGTGGCGATTCTCAGTCAAACCAACGACATTTCCCCTGAAGGAAACTACGAATGGAGGTGAGTATTGCGCCCAACGGAGCGAGGAGTTGGGATTTTTGGCCAAATTTTCAGCTTTGAAGCAGCCAATGGCATCAAGGCGGAGGAAAAGGGCTCGCTGAAGAAAACCAACGACCCAGAAAACCCTGAGGCAGTGGTGGCGGCTGGGGCCTTCTCCTACACTGATCCAGAAGGAAACCAGATCTCTTTAACCTACACTGCTGATGATGAAGGTAACTGGAAAAACTCTTTTTTTTTGCTTTTTTCAAAGTGGACAATGTTGCCGATTTGCAGGAGGTTTCCGGCCTGTGGGCAACCATCTGCCCACCTCCCCGCCCATCCCGCCAAACATCCAAAAAGCCCTGGAGTGGATTGCCGCCCAACCATCAACCACCGAACGTTCGGGGCGTGGCCGGAAGTGAACCATCTGTGATAGTGTTTATTATTGTATATTATTTATGTGACATTTTCATATATTTTGCAAGCTGATTTACGAATTTTATTTCTGCAACCCTCCCAGGGGGAGGGGGGTTATGTAGAAAAAATACAGTCTTCTGTTGTCTATGAAATTAGAAAAATTATCGTCGTTTTGTGCAAGGGT